CCCGCGCGCCGCGCTGCCCCGCGCTCGCTCCTCCAACCTGTGCGTGCGGGGAGCCAGCCCCGGCGAGCAAACAAAGTTGCTGGGAGCCCCGAGGATGGGACTTCATCCGCAAGCCCTCCTCGCCTGGCCGCTGCTGGCTCTGGCTTTCCCTTCAGTGGCCCTGGGCTTCTCGGATGAGACCCTGGAGAAAGCCACGAAATCCGAAGGATACTGCAGCCGGATCCTGCGAGCCCAAGGCACCCGGAGAGAAGGGTACAATGAATTTAGCCTCCGAGTAGAGGGAGATCCGGAATTTTACAAGCCTGGAAATAGTTACAGGGGTAAGTGGGTTTTTTGGGGAGGGTGGGCAGCCCAGCAAGTCTGAAGAAATAGGCATGAAGGGCAAGAGAAGAGGCATTGAAACTAAGGGGGGGGGGGGTGAGACAGAGAGGGGGAGATCTGGGTGGTTGGGTGTGTGAGTGATCTTGATGTGTGTGATAGTGATCTGGGATGTGTGTGAGATCTGGGGTTGTATTAGTGATCGGGGGGGGTGATCTGGTTGGTGTGTTAGTGATCGGGGGGGGGGGGATCGGGGGTGTGTGAGTGACCTGAGTGTATTAGTGATCTGTGTGACTGTGTGCGCGCGATCTGGGTGTGTGGATAGTTGAGGCAGTGTGCTACCTCCCCATGCACCGCTTATGCTGCGGATGCTTTCACAGCAAGTGAGTTGTATTTCACAGTAACGCTGCTCCCCCACCTCATATCGGACTTCTTGCTAAGGAGGGGATCTCCCCTTCCCCGGCGTTTTGCTTGCTCTTTGAATGGCACCGTGAGGCCACCTGATCTGTGATGGGATCTCCCCCCCCCCCCCCCCTTTCCCCCCGCGTCCCCCCCCCCACACCCCCCCCCCCCCCCAGTTTGCCCTGAGCTCTCCCAGCCCAACTCCCTCCAATGTAAAAGGGTTAACCCAGTGCAAAGGCTACTAAATTGGGTGCTAATTGACCTTGCTTGAAATATGTATGGTAATGTAATGACTTAGCATCTGGGTAAACAGTGATGCGGGAGGCTGCCAACTTCCCACATTTTCCACTTACGTTTATTTCCACCCCCCCCCCCCGTTGTTTTTTTCCTTTGCTGGGGAAATGAACAGATGGTACAAGCAGGAAAGAGAGAGATGGTGTTAATAAGCACCGTAAATAAGGGTCCTGGGGATGCATTCTGGGCTGAGCATTGCACAGATAATCCTGGAAAAGAACTCCTAAGCACATCTCGGCATATTTCGCTAATTAACAGGTGAAAGCCTCTCCAGTCGCTTTCTCTGCCTTAGCATACAATTCGTTTGGAAATAAATACCCTTGCATGCACTGGTAACTTTATATTTAATTAGTCTTTTGAAAAGAAACTGATTATACCTTTTAGGTGCTCCATCTCTAATTACAAGCTAATTAATAGAACCAGTAAAATCATCCATTGGGGAAAACCCAATTGTACTTTCATAGCTTCTTCCAGGTATGTGGGTTTCCCGCTCCCTCCCACCACTTCTCTTGACCTTTAGCTAGAGTCAATGTAAAGAGCAATGATCTCCCACTGGATGATTATAGGACTCTCAGTAGAAGTCGGGGAAAAAAAGTGTGCACTTTTCTTTTCTCCCAGAATATAATCATTAGGTTTAAACCCATTCACAATCTTAATGAACCCATTCACAATCTTAGTGAACCTATTCTGAGGATCAGGCTCTTATTTCTTATGACATTTCTTCAAATAGAGGAAAGATATTATAAACAAAGTGTGTACCATGCTTTTCTTCAAGCTCTTTCCCACAAATAGGTTACCGGTTCCAGATATTTGAAATGTTACTCTGAGTCTGCATGACTTCAGATTGCATGTCAGTTTAGTATCTGTTCTAGCCGCACTACAGAGAAGCCTCCGGTTCTTTGGCAATGACAAATCTACAAATTTTCTTAAAATACTATCTGTAAAATGTTTTTGGCTTTTTCTATCTTCTTTCAAGATAGAGAGAGGTAACCGGACTTCCAAACTTACAAATCCTATTTTGGGGCTATATTAGGTCAATTAATATAGTATACACTTTAATTTATTTTTTATCTCCTTTAGGGCTCTCATTCCTAACACGTTACAATGTAGGACAAAAAGCTTAGTTTAAGTACCCATTGCTTACATCAGTCTTCAGATGACACCTACATCTGAGTAAGTGGTATTTAAGAAGGCTTTTTGAAGTATGGGGAGGAGAGTAATACATTTTACTAGATGTGTACTTATCAATCACACGGGAGTTAATTTTTGTACAATATGAGGACACCACACAAAGTTTTAAAAGTGGATATTCCTGAGGTGCTTTTTGAAAGCAGATTCTACTGGGAAATTAGAAGTATCTTTCCATGCTATAAAAGTAAAGAAAATTTATGTGATAAGAAGAGCTGTGAGATTAAGGACCAACTGTTTTGCTTTCTGTAAATAACCAGAGAAACAACACTGCAGAAGGTTCTTAGAACCTGGATTGAGTCCAAGCCAAATGCATGTTAAAAACTGTTGCGACGGGTCCATAGTTAACGTTACCCAATCTGGGTCCTTGGCACACCACCTGTAGAGCTTCAGGAACCCCAATCCTTATGCATTTCTTCCACTGTATTGCTGCCAGGGGGAATCCATGTAAGAGCCTGGCTCTGTAATATTGGAAACTACTGCTGCTGTTCCAGTGGAGTGGGGTAGTATAGTTTACAGGTTTCATTTATCTTTGGAAGTCCCTGGGCCTCCTTTCTCTCCAGGCTGCTGCTCCTTTGGTGACCTAGAGTTCATCTGAACAAAGGGGGACCTAAACACAGAGCCCTTTAACCTGACATGCCGGTAGAGTGTTCTGTGAGATGTTAGGGTATTCCTTCTTCTTCTGGCCACATTACCTTCCCACCCTCACCCTATTTCGCTTGGTATATCAGAGAAAGGCAGCAATAGTTGAGGCCCTTTCCTTCCCTAGAAGAGAGGTAGCACTGGTGGCTGGGGATCCCTTTTTCTTTTCCCAATTCTAGGAAAGCAGGAATAGCTCCCCCCAGCTGGGATGGCCCTTCACATATTTTGTTGGAGGCTCTGACTCTGGCACTAGGGTGGTAGGCACTCACTCCCCTCGCTATCCCTGGTAGCTCATTAATTCTCAAGGGTGCCTTGAGATCCTTGTCAAGAGTATGATTGTGCCATGCAATGCTAGGAGTGTTTAGGTATGCAGACATGATTAATGACATAAAACCTAGAAATTTTTAATTGGAACCCATAGTATTAAAAACATTCTGCCTTGTTATGGTATTTTTGAGTTCATTGCAACAGGCAAAGAACTCAAAGAACTTCTGTTTTATTTTTCTGCAGTCAAAAATAAGTGAAAACTAAGAGTTGTATTTTCTGAAGGGTGCCTCAAGTCTATCCAGGGGTGTCTTGAGTCTAAAAAAGGTTGAGAACCACTGTGCTAGCTGTAATAGAGGAGCTGCTCTTGCCACCCCTCCTCCCTCTTGTGGAGCAGGCTGCCTACTGCAGTGTGGTACTTTTGGCTTCCAGCATTAGGTGACAACATGAGTGACACTGAAGTTGAGGACCATAGGCACAAACCTTTTGCCTTTGCAGTTGTTCCTCTTCCCCTTCACACAGACAGGCACACTGGTTGCCGTGCTTTTAATTTCTGTTCTGTTCCTCAGTTGCTTGTTGGCAATCAAACTCAAACTTTTAAAAATTGATTCAAGGTAATAGGCTCAGAAACAATAATTTTAAGTAACTGGTCCCAGCCCGGATGTTCTGTTGATCCTGCTAAGACACTAGCTCTGTTAGAAGCTGCATAGAATTATTTTTATTAAAAGCCAGAGGAGATTTCTCTGCCTAAATACATCCATAGAAAAGTCTGTAATATGGATTTTTCACATGAGTACATGAATGCAAATTGCTCCCTCCTTAAAACCCTGAAAGTTATTGAGGGGAGTAAGCAAGGGGCTGGCATGATTTGTTTGAGTACACTTTACATTGGGATGCTGTTTCTGTTGCTGATGAAATGGTCACCTGCAGATCTGTTCACCTTCTTTGGAGAATAAACAGTTTTCAAGGACCAGTTTGGATAAACATTGCCTATTCCACTTGCATTAGTTTTCCAAGTGCTTCATTGTTGAGTAATGTTGAAGTTTGCACTCCTGTGCTTAATCTGTCAATACACAGGCTGGTTTATTTATTTTTAAACTGATAAATAAACTCTTTTACACAGATCTGGGCACTTCTCACGCATCTGATTCAGGAGGAAAATAGGTGGCATTAACAGGATAGCAAACACTGTTTGCCACCTCTTGTGCAGCTTGCAACACAGTTTTGCTTCGTTTAAATGAGAAGTGCACAGTATGGCTCCCCTGCTGAAAGCCAGCTGAGCAACAGTTCTGGCCAGGTTGCAATTAGCTTTGGAGGGTGGCATGCAGGGTGTGTCTCCTTGCAAGAAAGGGGAGAGGTAGGCAAAATGAACCAATGCAATGCAATCTTACCCTGGAAAGTAAAAAGCAGAAATTATTTTCACTTGGTGTACATTTCATTTTGAGACTTAACTGTTCCTTACTTTAGCATCTTGCTGTCTAAGAAATGGCAACCAATTAGTCCAGGTGGTAACTGCCTATTGTGCCAGATCACCTACAAAATAATATGTATAGAACGTGTATTACAGTCATATTAGTGTCCCAACTATATCCTGGTTACCACAGGAAAAAGACCTCTGACACTCAAGAAGGAAGTGCCCATCTTTTGCAAGAGCCAGATACAATTCAGATTCCAGCATCATATAGAATCACAGCTGTGCAGGACTACATAGGGGTAAATATTTTTAGGGCTAATACAAGAGGACTTATTCCAGTTGCCAGTACAAGCCTCTTTATTAAACAATCCTTCAAATAATATTTTGTAGCAATGTTCTGTTAACAGATGGGGTAGCTTAAAGAATCAATGAAAGAATAGAAAGACCGTGTTGCTATGTCCATTCTGGCCATGTTCCATAGCCACTAGAAAATTACCATCTCTTGGCTGTTTGTTGTTTTTCATATTGTCAACTTTAAGCACTCAAAAACTGGTATTGAGTATTTAGGGTGCCCACTAATACATGCGCAATAAATATAATTACTGATTCAGGAAAGCATCTTTATCAAGCTCAGTGCTTTAATAGGCATCTCTCTTCTCTCTTAACTATACAGCTGGTCCAACAAAATGTTCCACAAAAAAACGCTTGCTTCTCACATATCTCCTGCATCATCAGTGGTACAAGAACACACTGACCCTATTTTAGTCCTGCACAGGGGCAGTTTTAAGCAAGTTTTTAACTGTTTGTCTGAACTGAGGCAAACTGTTTGTCTGATGGTTAGGCAAATATTAATGTAACTCATTTTGGAGTCAAAATCAGACTTTATTCCCAGACAGTCCTGACTGTGGCATAGTTATTAACACCTGTATGTACATTTCCTGCTTTCAGAATAGGGTTGTAATATTGGACTCTTATTTTTCTAGAAAATAAATATATTGTCTATTTTCTTGTATATTGTGTATACCTTTGCCCTGAGTTGGCGCACACTTGAGTTTGTCTTCTTAAGTTCATGTTCATTTAGCTATTCCTAAAAATACCATTTTTTTTCACAATGTATGTAGACATTTCTTTGGAATTATATATAATCCTTGGGTAATTTTATACTTGTAGGCATTGTTATTATTGTCACTTTTTATGGGGACTAGATTCTAAGGACCAATAATTCTTCAGTTAGTGTAATGAAGATGAATTTATTTGACTTCACTGGATCTGCCTTTGTTTAGTCTAGTTGAGAATCTGGCCCTAGAGTTTTGTTTGGATTCACCTACTGCTGAAGAAGTTCATAGGAAAATAGAGGATGGAACTAAGTCTTCTGCATTAACAGCAATGAACTATGATTGCTGTTATTGAGCCATTTACTTAGAAGCCAAAAGGCTGGGACCCTCTTGTGTTAGCATTTTACCTACATATGTACAAGTGTACCCATCACTATTTTGCAATTTGGTAATGAAGTTTCAGGAATGAATGAAAATTTAAATCATGAAACTTTTGGGATTTACCAACATATTCATCAGTATACAGGAATGAATGGGGCCACCTGGATCTTTGAGTACAGGCTCCCTACCCTGCATTAGTTAGGTTATTTGTGAGTACAAATAACTCTCATGGATCAAATGAGTCAAACATGGTGCTTTCATTTGTGATATTTGCAAACAAATTAATTTATTTTTTGTCCACCTTCTTGCAGAAATCATGCTAACTCAGTTAACTCTCTATTTAATTTCTGTGAATCTCTCTAATCCTCACTTCTTCATGCCTGAACAGAAGAAGATATACAAGAATGTAACCAGAAATCCTATTTTCATTTGTCTGACCCAAATAAAACGAAGTAGCACTAGAGATATGTTGATAAACGCTGTTCCTGTTACATTTCTAGTTTCTCATTTCTAGGTCAAAGAGAACTACATATGGTCCTGATACGCATCTGTGCTTTTGGATATTGAACATGCAAACCCTTTAATGGTTTACTATCAGACTTTTATTTCAACCCCTGGTGGCTTGTTTGTGTGCGGGAGAGAGAGGCTACCATGGATACTTTTCTGTGAAGCAGCATTGATGGTAGCAGTTGTTCAGAAAGAACCAAGGTTTTCTCCAGGTTTTTATACTGCCAAGTAGGATTTAAGAGTGTAAAGATACAAGGAAATAAGAGTATTGACTTCACAGTTAAAGCTGAAGCCACTATAACAGTGCAAGCCCAATGTTGGCAATGGCACTTATTTTTTTTCCCTTAAAAAAAAAAAAAAAAATCCTTTTTTTCTGAAACATCACATGCCAGGTCTCATCTAGATCAGAATTTTTTTCCAGGAAATTTTTAAAAAGTTAGAGAATTTTAAAATTATTGAACAAACCTGGGCTTGCAGCTCTGTTGGTACCACCCAAGTCATATACAAGGCACTGGGAGACATCTGGTAGTGTATGTCTACAGTGTTTCCCTCAGGTGCCAAGGAGTTCTCCTCAAACACCCTTGGCCCACCTGTTCTGACTCTCACACACACTAAACACGGCAGCAGAGTTGCCCTGAGGGCTCCCCACACTGCTGCTCTCGAGCAAGTATGAGACAGAGGATTCAGAGCAGAGGTGGGCATGGCTCCAGAGCAGTTTTCACTGCCTCATTCCTGGGTTTGGTGTGAGAGTTGGAGCAGGTAAGCAGGATATATTCCTGAGAGCGGTGCTCAGGAATGTACTTTGGGTACCTGAGCTGTTGCTCAACTTCTGTACATTTATAAAAGTCGAGAGTCTTCTGACACGGGTATCTCTCAGGGTAGTAAAACAAATCAACATGCCTTCAGAGACATAGGGGGCCTTCCTGGGCAGGCTAGAGCATGGATAAGGATGTTTGAGAAGGTGCTGCTGAAGTGCAGTGTGTTCTAACAATCCTCAGCTGGTGATAGTCCCTAGAGGTTAATTTTAGCTATAAAACTGAATGCAGGCTTGTTTAACCCTGGGAATGGAATGATAAGGGGAATTAAATGGTGGTTTAGAATGAAGTTATCCATCAGTCCAGGTACTGTCCTGAGCATAGTTTGGCTACAAGGATATGGATAAAATATTTTTATCTTGTTGTATAATTGAGTAAACTCTGTGTGTGTCAAGGACTAGATCCTGGCTTGTATTATGGGGAAGGCTCCAAGAGAGATTGCTCCATATCAGAAATCTCTGTGGAATGGAGCAGCTTGGTTGTCTGTTTTCAAGAACATTCCGGGGCAGTAAATAACAGAAATATTGCATGCATTGGCCTAGTTTGCGTGGAAATGTGGATTGAACCTTCCTGTACTCTACCTGTCTGTACTCCATGCTATTGATCTTTTTAGGTTTCATTAGCACTACATTAACACAAACATTTAAACTAAGCTATGAAGTGCTGTGTAGGTTGTTGATTTCACAGTCAGAATTAGCTTTCTCTTTTTTTGTTTCTCTTTAGTAACGCTGTCAGCAGCCACACCTGCGTACTTTCGTGGCTTCACACTGATTGCTCTCAAGGAGGGTAAAGAGGGAGACAAAGAAGAAGACCATGCAGGGACTTTTCAGGTGAGAGATGCTCCATGAGCTGTTGCTCTATTGCTTTTATTTCACAGTATGGTTGGTTTAAGGGGGTGCCATTATTATGGAATACCAGCTTGTGCAATTATAGAAATTTGTAGTTTATTGGTGTGATGCAGGCTTAGCATAACTTTATTCAGCATTCTATGCTCTTCTTCAGAAGATGTACAAGCTGCATAAGCTTGATTTTGATGAACTTCAAATATTTCAAATTGAGTGTATGCTTAAGTGTTTTGCTCAACTGAGGCCTAAACGATCTGAGTCTCTGCTGCTGACCAAAGCAAATGGGATGATGGCAATTTAATCTGTTTTGCTTTTTGTATTTCTTTTTGTTGAACAGACTGTCTGTGAAATAGAGTACATTCTATAGCCCTTTCTTTGGCTATAGTAGGACTAACCAACTTGCCAGCCATGGATAAGAGTAGGGGTGGGCAAAATATCACCCACGGGCCATATCCATCCTCCAATTGATTCTATATGGCCCATGGGTGGGTAGTATGGTCTCTGGCTTTGCCCTCTGCTGGTGCCATGGGGGAGATTGGACTGAAACAGCCCTGTCCTGCCCACCAGCTCAGCACTGTGCGGCAGACCCTCAGCAAGCCATGCTCGGGCCTCGGTGACTGGCTCTGGCCTCTGCTGGCACCACAAGGGATGCTGGGCAGAAGCCTTCCTGGCCCCCCCAGCTCTACATGACAGGGCCTGGACAAGCTGCACTTGAGTCCTGGTGTCCCCATTTGGGCTGAGCCAGTGGCATCCCACCTGCCTGCAACCTGAAGCTGGCAGGAGCTGCCCTAGGTGCTAGGATTGTGCAGCAGGTGCTCTAGAGCAGTGCTTCTCAAAGAGGTGGTCCACGGACCACTGCCGGTCCGCGAGCCACCGGTCGCCGGTCCGCAGCGAGTTGCCGGGAAAGAAGGAAATATATTTTCAGAAGCATAACATTGATATGTCACAGTGCCGCAGTTTGTACATTCCAACACTCCAGGTGACATCACGTCGTGAGAGGTGAGGAAAGAGAAAGAAACGGCCGGTCGCGCACTTGTGTAGTGCTGTTATACACAGTTGCTGCCACCGGCTGAACCGGGCACCGGTCCCTGGCCCACTGGGAAAAAAAAATTGCCGGTCCGCCACATCAGATAGTTTGAGAAGCACTGCTCTAGAGGTGGCTGAGCTTCCCTGGTACCTCCCAGCAGATGAAGCCCTGGTCTTGGCTGCAGCCCTACCTTGCTCCACGCAGAGCTGCAAGCTGGCCCAGCCACCTGCTGCCTTCTAGCTGCAGCCAGCACAGTTGCCATCCTGTTTGTCCAGGTGAGGCTGTCCTGGGGCTGGGGCTTCTCCTGAGTAAAGGTGGACTCCTGGGCTGCAGATGGGCAGAGCCTGCATGGCCCTGGCAGGGTGCTGGGAGAGTCTGGAGGGGCTGCTAGGATTCCCCAGGCTTTGTGAGGGCAACTGTGGAGGGGAAGGGGTAGGGGACAGATGGGTATGGGGTGCAGGCTACTCTTGAGAGGCGTGTCAGGGTGCAGGCTGAGTCAGGAGCTACCTTTATGATTTGGGGGGTGGCTGGGCAGTGGCAGGGCTCTGTTGGGGTGGGGGTTATCCTTTCTTTGCTGTGTCCTGCTGACTGGTTTTGGTTCCCTTGAGGGAGAGATTTTATTTTGAGATATTATGCAATCTCCTCTCTAAACATTAGTCAAAAAACCATAAATCAGGACAAAAATATTTTTTGAAATAAAATTAAAATATTTTATAGAAGTTTGATTTTTAGCATATAATTTTTTAAAATCTATTATTTGTTAAAATGATATCTTCACCATTTAATTGTGTGTGCAGCCCTGAACAACTCACCATAAGTCATTAAGTGGCCCTCCAGCCTAAATAATTGCCCACCCCTAGGCTAGAGGGAGATCCGCAATTTAATTGTATCTTGCACCGAACATGATTAAAAGGATCAATATATGGCCAGAAGGAGGAGTACCCTCCTAGTTTTTCTAGCCCGTTTTTGAGTGGTTAGGGTACTTGGCTAGAACATGAGACCCCCTCAAGTTGAAAACCCTCCCTAATGGCCTACCTGTTGCCTAGTGGTTAGAGCAGTGTGGTGGTCGTCAGAGATTCAGGTTCGAATTCCCTTCTTGCTAGTCACGGGTTTATTGCCATGTACAGTTTTGTGACCTGTGCATTCACACTGCATGGGGAGTAGGACTGCAAACTGCAAAATGGCAGTTATGCAGCTGGGTAGCTGCCATCTGGGCACGTAAAGTGAAATTCTGCCCTTAGTGTCCCATTAACGCTAATACCTAATTTTTCCATCACTTGGTAATGGGAAACATGATGCATGAGCTTGGACTCTAATTCCAGGTGTTTGTCTGCAGCATAATAGAGTGAGAAGCTCTCCAAGCTTTGCTGAAGTGGAGAGCAATTTTGAAGCCAGTAGAGAGTGGGTAGTAAATGAAAATTTCTAAATAGCACAAAACACCTAATGGATCTCAGTGGAGGGATGATTATTAAGCTGTTTAATTAGTTTTATTATAGTGGTTGTAAGCTGAAATCAGCATTTTAATTGTCAAATGAATATTTCAAATGTTGTGCATAACTAAATTCATATTTTTGAGACAAACAGTACTCATGGTCCTTCCCCCTGCATTGATACAATTAACTTCTGCTCTTTGGGTAAGCACCTACCTATGATATCTGAATTCATAACAGATTTAAGTATAGATATGACTGTCACACTCTTCTGCAGCATGACAAGTACTATTACCCAGAGACAAAAAGAGAGGTTTAAATGCTGTATCAGGTTTGTACCAAGTCTTGCATTATGGTTTTAACACTCTAGACATGTACAGGCAATCTACCAAATGAAGTAAAAACTGAAGAACGATTTGCATGAAAGTTATAACCAATAGTTTATTTGGTCAATGAGGGAAAAATGAGGTATTTTGTCAAAGATTCAAATGGTGGGACCAGAGTTTGGCAAAAATCCCCTTGAAATATACTAAATAAAGACAGAAGAGTTAATTATGCTTTTGGACTATTAACATGGATTCCCATATTCATATTAAATCATGTTTACTCACAGATTCATAGTCGCATTTTATGAAGTGTGGCCATGCAATTAGGTATGTTGTGTTGATATAATCAAGCCATAGAACAAGAGCTTCATTTATCAAAATGTGAGCCTGTGGTATAACTATAATAAGACGATGCACGCATTCACTAATTTCTAATGCTGTTAATCTCGTAAAAACAACTTCCACGTTGTGGATGTGGATCATAATACTTATGGAGAAAACTCAAATCTACCTTCCATCCTCGGTCATTGTATGAAAATACTTGCCTATCGAGGGCTGAGAATTGGACTGATTTGTCATTGAAGTTTTTCATGGTTTTTAGGCCGGAATAAAATAGGAACAACAAAGTGGTCACTAGAGCCTTAGAACCTCAATTAATTATATAAAACCTGAGAGGAAAATCATAACTAAAATGTGTTTGTTGTATTTTTAAAAAATTTCAAAGACTGAAAGACCAAAAATAAAATTGTTTAAAATATGAAATATGATAATGTGTTATCTTCAAAAAGTTGAGTTGTAACATAGATTTTCTTTTATTTTCTACAATTGCCCTTTGGAAAACGGTAAAATGGCAGTGAAAGCTTAACAGTTGTAAATTATTTGACTCAAGCTAATTTGTGTAGGGCATCCAGGCTATTTATCTAAAATGGTTGTTGTCAAGGGTGGTGGAGAGCAGTTCATGAACAGTGTCATTGAACATATGTCATGTTGCATTAAAATAAGAATAAATATTCCATTAAGGATACAGACTGTAGTGCTTTATAACTATATATAGATGTAATCACTCCAATTTAATTTTATTTTCAGTTTTCAAAAAATTTGGTAGTTTGTTAATGACAAAAACTGGTGATGGGATGCTGGTAGTCTTGAACTACAGCATAAATGCATCATCATTGCTTACAGGGGTGTAGGTTGTAGCTGTGTTGGTCTAAGAACATAGGCAGACAAGGTTCTTTGGGTGAATCTGATATCTTTTATTAGACCAACTTAAATAGTTTGGAAAACAATTTAGTTGACAAATAAATTGTTTTCCAAGTATTGGAAAACAATTTGAGAGCTGAAGGTGTTGTAAGATCTGGTTGGACTGGTTCATTTTGTGCAATTTAGGCTCAGATAAAAGTTGGAGTAGTCCTTTTACCTCAAAGTTGTCTGGTGGTAAGTGGGATGTAGAATTATGTTTTCTCCTGGTTATGATGTTTCATATTTCATAGAAATATGAGCCTATTTATCTACCCTGTGAAATATGAATTTTCATTTCCACCTGGGAGAAATTTTATGATCTTTGCTTTCTCCTATGCCTGAAGAAGGGTTTGTGTGCCCGAAAGTTTGCAAATAAAGAATTTTTTTTGCGACTATCTAGTTGATCTAATAAAAGATATCACCTCTGCCACAAGTTCTGATTCCTTGGAGGTAAGATACAAACACCAGCTGCAGAAGTTTGAGTGGTTTAGTGACAGAGCTCTCATTTATGCCAGTGGTAATCATACTGCTCTATCACAGTAGAATGCAAAGTCCTAAACATTTGGCATGTTGCATCGGCCTTATTTAGGCCATTCTCTGTTGTTGTCACAGACTGCTGATCCTTCTGTTTTGTAATGTTTAGCCACACTGCAAATTGTTTAGTACAAAAAGCTGAACAACTTGAAGGCAAATTACACCAGAGCATAACAATCGGGCACTGATTGACTGCAGTTAAGATTAGAACGCTATCTGTACAGACCAGAGGTATCTCTTAAAGCCAAAGCATGCATACATAGCTTTATAGGCTTGGTTTGGTGAATTAATGTACAGTCAGAAATGGTATGCTGGATCATCTGGTTCATTTCCCTAATCCGAGACGGAATATATATTCTGAGAGCATCCCTGACAGGTTTTTATCTAACCTGTTGTTTAAGGTTGATTTTTGGCTTTTGTTTTGTTTTT